ATTTGAACAAATACATACAAAAACATCAAAATTAGCACAGAAACAGTACTATAAAACATTTTAGACACATTCTAGACAGTTTATCAGCTAAAAAAAGTTAATTTTGGGGTAAGTTACTCTTTAAGCCTGGGAGGTTTTGTATCATGAGTTTTGCTTTAATGTCACATCTTCAATTTTTATACTAATAGATGTAAAGCTGTGTAAACATACKTTAGTTCATCAATTAGGAGGGCACCCTGTCTCAAGATAAAAGAAACATGTTTTAGTTTATAGACTTTTTCAAACTGCATAAAAAAATCAAAGACAGACTGCCTAAAGAGGTGGTGTTTCTTAGCTTTTTATTAGCTGCGCATTTTGCAATACCTTAAAAAAACGGCACATAACGAGAACTTGAAATGGCAGCTTCAAACAAGGTGAACAAAACAAAACATGTTCAAAAGTGTTTTCTCTCGCTCTCCAGTTAAAGTCTTTTCCCCTGGTTCTTGTTTCTTCCACTTCTCCTGGCACCTGTCCGGTTCTCGGGTGTCAGCGAGAGCAAGGGAGATGAAAGAGGAATACAGTCGTGTCAAACTAGAGAGATGAATCCCTCTGAGGTCAACTCTGTCAGCGAGGGGATCCATAGATGCCACAGTCAGATCAGCTGTGCCCCCGGGCTGAAAGGAAATACTCGTCTTTCTTGCATCGTGGACGTGTTTGTGTTCCGCGCATCCGCCGCTCATTATTATTATTATTAGTGTCAGTRTCTTTTCGCTTGGCATTAGAATGTAAAACTGCATGCGGCAAAAACTTCTGACTCTCCCCTGAAATGAAAATACAAGATTACACATGCGGCAGGCAGCAGAAAGCGAAGACCTGTCTTAAATAATTATTGCGACGGTTTGATGTGTGACCTCGGAACGACTCCTGATAAAATGTAGGCCGATCATATGAGTGCGCAGTATTTTTAGTGTCACTTAGACATGCACTGTAGCTAAACTTAAGGTCTGGAGGAAAGCTCYGCAGTATCAGTCCTCGCCCCCTGGGGCAAGGGGACATACGTGCACCCACGTCCCAGCTGAGACTGACCGAAATAGCAAGTAGTTAACAATTAGTGTCGGACTGAGCTCAGACCAGATGGAAATTTTGACAAGTCTGACATTGAAAACAGAGGATCGCCTGTCTTTTCTAAAACAATTTTCACTAAATGTTGCATTTGAGTGGTGTTTTTTACTCAGTTTTAAACTAACATGCCCACATTGCTCTTYTTATATAAAAAATTGCTAGAGTTTAGGAGAGTATGAGTGAAATTTATCAGGTTATTTATACAAAATCAGTTTGTGCCTGAGAGACTTCCTCAGGAACTTGACTCTAATGCCTGTCTGACACTACAAAAAGAAAAACGTTATCACTTCTCTTTTTTTTTTTTTTTGTCGCAGGGCCGTTGTTCCAGGGAGAACTGCAAGTACCTGCACCCCCCTCCCCATCTAAAGACCCAGCTAGAAATCAATGGCAGGAACAATCTGATCCAGCAGAAGAACATGGCCATGCTGGCCCAGCAGATGCAGCTCGCCAACGCAATGATGCCCGGCACGCAGCTACCCCCTATGGTGAGAGGACACACTCATGTGAACACACCCGAGTTGCTGTCCACAATGAGACCACGAGTATTTAAAACCTCACACATGAACAGCCCATTCTCTCTGCATTGCTCTTTCAGCCTCTTATCCTCACTTAGAATCCTTTGGGATTGAGCAAACATCTTATCCACTGCCCCGTTTATGTATATTTTTTCTTTATTTTTCTTTCTGCTTTTAGCCTATATTCCCAGTGACACCAGGCCTGGCTACTAATGCCAGCGCAGCAGCAGCTGCTGCAGCTGCAGCCTTTAATCCCTACCTGAGCCCTGTGTCTCCAAGCCTGATGCCTCCAGAGATCCTGCCCAGCACCCCGGTCCTCATGGCCTCCAGCCCCACCGTCAGCCAGGTTCCCAATGCTGCTGCAGCCCAGAAGCTGCTGAGAACAGACAGACTTGAGGTAATAAAAAAAAAATAACTGACGGGAACAACCCATTTTTTTTTTTTTTTTTTTTGATACAGGAATGCTGTGTGTTTTTCCAGACTAGAAAAAAAGTATTTTTGAGTATTCTCATTTGTCCAAGCAGAGTTTGTATAAAGGACAAAGGTCATGTTTATTGTGCTTAAAGTGACTGTGACATGCATCTCAATATTTAAAAAATTTGACATAATACACAGGATTTTACCCCTTTTGTCACACTACTGTCATGTTTTTAGTTGAAGTAGATGCAGCCAAAAGGAAACAGGAAGTGATGACAAAAAGGGCCTCTTTCATGTTTGTAAATGAGAAGTGGTTCTCAAACAGTTTACCTGGATAAATAAAGGTTAAATAAATAAATAAAATGAATAAAAAGCAGTCTTTGTTTACTGAAACAATAATATTTGAACTCTGGCTCTTCTTCGTCCCTGTCTGATAGTGACTCAAAATAATCTAAAGAAATATCAGACTCTGTTGCTGTCTGTGCTGTTAGCCATTATAGCAATGATCTGTTCACATTCAGGCATTCCCTTTCGTCATCACTTCCTGTTACTGTGCATACCTCAACTGGTCATCTCAGGGGTGTGATCTTCTTTTGCAATACTTTATTTATTAACCCCTGAACTGTTGCCCCTGCAATTCCCTAAAAGGATTTTGACTTTTTTTTTTTGTAAGAGTGTGAAATTTAAAGTGAGAACCGGAGGAAGTTGTCTGACACCCTAGATTTCAAAATAACAAGTGYTAAGAGGTTAATGTTATCTTTCCAAAAATGAATTTGTATTTACCACAAACATTTCATGTCACAGGCTTTTTAAACCTGAACAGTAATAGTGCAATAGTACAGATAATTCTAATCAAAGCGGATAATAAAGGCATATGAATTATGGTGTTTTATCATTGTTTGACATTTATTTTGTTGGTAGAGTTGTCGTGTTTTATTATTTTTGTTCCAGTACAGTTTTCCATTTGGACAGACACATGCCATAAAATCCACGACAGTTACAACAGAAGGAAGTTTGCACTTTCATGACTTCTCGTTTGAACAGAAAAAGTATTGTTAAGTTTCCACAGCCCAGGTAAAAGCAAAATGGCAGCGAAAAATCCGTTTTTCAGCACTCCACAAAGATAAAATTGTAACTGTGCCAGTAGAGTACCAGTGAAAGTAGAGAAACCCACCACATTTTAATATATTTTTTTGATTACCTCTATTTAGAAGTAGCTTCAAGTGCAGCCGTTTACTGCAAAGTAAGACTGAGTGAAAAGCAGAAAAACAAGCAAACATCTCAGATTGACAAGAAGGTGCTGCCCTCTGCTGTCTCCTGTGCAGACTTGACAAATATTTGGGATCCACTCAGTCACATCTCAGTTATTCATACTGTATAAGGAATGTTTGTACCAGAAATCAACAAGCTGTGTGTCATGATGTAGCACAAAGGTTTTATGGTTGCAGTTCAGACCCTGATAACCAAATATGGTTAAGCAGGAAGTTTACCACATTTATTTGAAACTTTTTATTTTCCTTTTAAAGCCTTAATATTTTATTAGTTTTAGATGCACACTCAATATTTATTGATTTGCTTGTGTGGTGCTCATTTTGTTTAGCTCTTCCAGTGTATGTTGTAAATTTTTGCTTTTATTAAAATTGTTTTCGATTTGATCCTATTTTATTTTGTAGTTCTATTGCTGCCCACCTCATTTCGATTTTTTTCTGTAAAGCACTTAAAGTTTTTAAATAAAGTCATAAGTTATAAACACTTTAATTGCCTTAGAAGTGGAAATATACACGATGTATGTTAAAACTCTGTGTCTCACCTAATTTATAGGTTAACCCGTTGTCCTCCCACTGTCAATCCTAGGTGTGTCGGGAGTATCAGAGAGGAAACTGTGCTCGGGGCGAAGGCGAGTGTCGCTTCGCTCACCCTGCAGACAGCACCATGATCGACACCAACGACAACACCGTCACCGTGTGCATGGACTACATCAAGGGTCGGTGCTCCAGGGAAAAGTGCAAGTACTTTCACCCGCCGGCACATCTGCAGGCCAAAATTAAGGCCACCCAGCATCAGGTGAACCAGGCCACAGCGGCCGCAGCCATGGTGAGCAGTTTTTACACGTCAGGTCACACTCAGGCCAGAGGTACTGTCTTGTGAAATGTTGAATTCACAGTAAAACTAACCTTTCAGGATCAGCATTTGATGACATTTGAACTTCTGCTTTCGCCAGGTTAAATACAAAAAAAATAAAATAAAAGTTTGCATGTTGGTTTGGAGGAAATCTGATCAGTTCTGGATGACCTGAAGRAGGATCAGACAAACAGCACACTGTGACCGCGATTACTGACATGTCAAGGGTTTTCCTTCCCAGTTCTACAAACAAATTTAGCTTTTTGTTCTGTTCTCCGACTACAGAGTCCAGTTTCTTCTTCCTCCCTGACTTCATTATGGCTCAATTGTTTCTGTTCTTCCTTTYGTTAAACTTCTCTTCCTCTTGACATTAGTAAAAAAAAAAGATTCATTGTCCTTACAGTCCTGTCCTATGGTAACACCATCACTGAATATACCACTGCAGCCWCACTTGTTTGTAGATCACTTATCTCTTCCTGCTTTTAATGACGCAGTGGAACACAGGGTGTGTGGGTATAATCCCTATAATGTGAACCCGACTACATATTGCACAGTGAAACTTGTGAAATGTATATAATATAATTTGCTGTGCGTTTGCTGACACTCACTTAAAGTAACGGTTGAATAATCTGTCTTTGTCGCTGTTTTCATTTATTCTTGTGTGAGAATAATCACTGTAGAGCGGTAGTTATTGGTTATCCTTGAGGATCATGTAACTGTTGAGTAGTAGAGCTAGTGTCCACACTGTGCATGCCTTAGCCTTGTTATCCCCTTTGTATACTGCATTCCAATGATTTGTTTTTTTATTTGTTTTGTTTTTTCTCACCTATACCCAAAACTGCACTGCTGCCCCCATGATGCACCTCTGCTTGCTGGTTTATGTTAATGCGCTTGAACCCCATTGGCCCATTGCCATCATGTGCTCGCTGCCTGCTAATTAAGACTCAGTCGGCTGTCAAATCACTGAAGCGACCCCTCGACGCAACCTTTGACCTGGTACTATGACCTTTCACCTTTTAGCTTGTCATGCATGTGGCTTTGTTGTACAGCAGTGCTTTAACCAAAGATTACTTAGCTACACGTGTTCGTCTCGGTGCAATGTCTGTTCTTTTTCTCCTGCTCGTGATAAAATGGTCGTGGCCTTTCCGAGCCCAAGTTACAAACAAAATTAAAAAAAAAACAAGTGGCGAGGAAGCTGCAACCAGTTCATCATCTGCAGCCTGTTTAACAGTAGTTAGCGAGGACTAGGGTTGTAGAGCTTCAATGTTGGTGGCATGGCTTCAGTCTGCTGTCTAAATGTTTAGTATTGTGGAGCAGCTCAACCAGATGTGTGCATGTCTGTGTTCTTATTGCATGTCATAATGAGTCCGGGTGGGGCTCAAAGTCAAAAATAAGTCTCTATAACCAAACAGGAGTGATCCCACCTTAACAGGTTTATCACAGTTCAAATGATAGTTCACTCATCTCCAGATCTCAGATACTCAGACCTCAGGAATGGCCTAACGCCAAGATCAAATCCCCTGTATGAAATGGCAAAAAAATTAAATAATAATAAAGTTTTGTGTTTGTTTTTTCAACTCTCTTGGCCTTAAACCATTTTTGACATTTATTCCCAAGAGTGAACCATCACTTAAACATGGCTTACCCAGTTTTATCATGGAGCTAGCAGTGCAGCCTCCCTCTCTCTGTGCTTATTATCTGTTCCACCTTGTTAGCAGCCTCATTGTTTGAAAAAAAGTTAATGCTTGCTTATTAGTCAGCCCTAGGAGTACAAAGTTAATCAGCTTTATTGAAAATTAATATATAAATGCCTGTCAGCACATAGCTCCAGTAGGCATCATGCTCCTGCTTGTGTAGTAATTGTCAGATTGCTGCTTGCTTGCTACTGATGATATGATGTTGATATTGTTGTATACACCAAAATGTCATGACTGATGTTCTCTAACCTATGTACCTTTTTTTGTTTTCTTTCTTGTTTTTTTTACCTCTCTAACACACCCTCTCTCTCTCTCTCTCTATTCCACACACCTCTTTCTGTTTCTACTTCTTTTTTTTTCTCCTCTCTGATTGACCCTCCCACCATCTGGATGGGCAGGGCATTACCCCTAGTGTCATGGCGCCCCTCCCAAAGCGGGCAGCCCTGGAGAAGGCCAACGGGGCCACTGCCATGTTTAACACCGGCATGCTCCAGTACCAACAAGCCCTGGCCAGCATGCAGTTTCAGCAGCAGGCTGCTTTCCTCCCATCAGGTACGGGTCCTTAAGCAATCAGCCAGTGGATGATAGCGGGGTCAGTCGAACCTGGCTCTTTGCTTGGCTGAGGGTTTGGCAAAAGGGTTTAAGTGCAATGCAGCACATTTTTAATATGGGTTTTCTCAAATATTAAGGGAAATAACTGATTTAAACAAACAACTTTTGCAACAAGCTAAAAAAATGTGCAATTTGATTCATTGTAAAAATGCTTTATGCTTTTGTTTGGCATTGCATGGCCTCAAGGAATTAAAGAGGGTTTTCAGTCTCCCTCTTTGCCTTCTAATTTTCTTAATTCAGCTACAAATATGCTTGTCAACTTTTCTGACAAGTAAGGTGATAAAATTATAGTAGTAAAGAAGGTTATTAAATGAAAATGTGATTTTTTTAATGGTTTGGGGGCTTTGAATCAATACATGTTTGCTGGTTTCAGAAATGACACCTTGTGCCTCACATTGATAACAAACAGCAGCTGAAGAGTCAAGTTTCTGCACATGTTCTCTGCTTGCGCTTATACAGAACATTTACCACTCAGTAATTCAAACCTCTTATCACTGTTAGTAACATAACTCGTAAGCATCACTACAGACAGAAATGTCAGTTTAGACTCGTAACTCGCCTGCAGAGTGATGAGGTTCACCACCGCAGCTCTCCACTCACTGATGTCTGTGTCCAATAAATATTAACCTTTTTCTTCCCCTCACATTTATCTCTCCCCCTTCACCCTAACGAATCTTGTGATGGGCTGTCTTGATTTCTCTCCCCTACCCAATCCACTTCCTGTTGCACTGCATGATGGGCAGGCTCAATTTTGTGCATGACACCTGCAGCCAGCGTTGGTAGGTTCCAGCTTTCTTTCTTCAGTTCTTTGTAACCTCATGTCTGTAAGTCACTGATCATCRAAAACAAGCTGTCCAGTGGATTTATTTGTGCTGTTTTTATAGCTAATTTGTGCTATTTGTGAGATAAAAGTCACAGTTTTAGTTGTAAAATGATAGGAAAGACTTTATCTGTTTAACTATTGTTGATTACTGCTAGTTGAACTCACCCATGTCTTTTTAGTTTCTCTGTGTACACTTACTGTAATCAGCTTGAACACTCAGTCCCATGCTTTTTCTGAACTTGTTTTGGCTGATCTAACCTAATACCTTTGAAAACATTAAAACTAATGAAGAGGTTCAATTCTAACTTTTCCCCTTTACTCTCTCTGCCATAAATACTTTATTTTTAAGACTCATGGCCACATTGTTATTGGTCATATTATAGTAGTAGATAATTTTCATCAAGTTGCTGCAAACACCCTGTATCCCAACAAGACTCTTGTTGGCACCAGCAGAGGGAACCAGGGGCACAAGTTCAATCGAATCCCTTTCATGTTCCTTCTGTCCTTCTCCTTTTTTTAAATTCTTGTTGAATTTTCGTTTGCCTGGTGTGTCTGTGGCTTCTCTGCTCCTCTGTGTATATATGCTTACATGATTTTTCCCTCCAAAAAAGTTCCCATGATGCACGGTGGTACTCCAGCCACTGTGTCTGCAGCCACCACATCTGCCACAAGCGTTCCCTTCGCAACTGCCTCCACCAATCAGGTTTGCACCTCTGCCACCTCACTCCATCTATCTATCTATCTATCTATCTATCTATCTATCTATCTATCTATCTATCTATCTATC